CAAGTTTCCTGTATAATGTTTCTTTCTACGATGAACCGTTTCGCCACTAGAGCACACTAAAAAAGGCCAGAAGTACAACAAATTAAAAACATTGCTAAATGCTGCCGTTTTACATTACGTTTCCATGGAAACAACCCATGTTACGATAATTTTAACTATTTATTCATGATAACAAACTGAAACACACTTAAAAATACCCCCGCCGCAGCAAACCTGCAGACTAAGCAAATTTCCATTTCCCTGATTGGATTTACACTGAAATGTCTCCTTAGAAAATATCACATTTATTCCCTATTTAAATAAAAGTTTAACAAGTACTTAGGTTTGCTGCAACGGGGAGGGTAAAAAGGTGTTTTTTGTAAAATGTAATAATTTAGTATGAAATGAATGCATTTTCCAAATTTGATCAAAATATGTTCATAAACAAGCAAACTACAACAGTTTACTTAGTCTCCATAAGAATAACATGGGCATTTTAAATTTACAGATTTTTGGAATTTTCTCCGTAACCGTTAGGCACATAACAACGCTTTAATATACAAAACTATTTGTTTTTTTAAGCTCTACAAAATGGTATGGAAAGAAATCACTAAATTTTAAGTTTGTAGGGTCAAAAATAGGAAAAACCAATTTTCACCCCATAAAACACCCCATAAATCCCTGTTCCCATAGTCTGATCATGCTGGTTCGCTAACTTGTTCGAAAAAACGTAGGTTTACACGTTTGTCCCAATTTTCATCAAAATCGGATGATTTTTGCTCGAGTTCTCGAGTTACGGAAAAAATTCCAAAAATCTGTAAATTTAAAATGCCCATGTTATTCTTATGGAGACTAAGTAAACTGTTGTAGTTTACTTGTTTATGAACATATTTTGATCAAATTTGGAAAATGCATTCATTTCATACTAAATTATTACATTTTACAAAAAACACCTTTTTACCCTCCCTGTTGCAGCAAACCTAAGTACTCGTTAAACTTTTATTTAAATAGGGAATAAATGTGATATTTCTAAGGAGACATTTTAGTGTAAATCCAATCAGGGAAATGGAAATTCGCTTAGTATGCAGGTTTGCTGCGGCGGGGGTATTTTTAAGTGTGTTTCAGTTTGTTATCATGAATAAATAGTTAAAACTATCGTAACATGGGTTGTTTCCATTGAAACGTAATGTAAAACGGCAGCATTTAGCAGTTTTTTATTTTTTGTACTTCTGGCCTTTTTTAGTGTGCTCTAGTGGCGAAACGGTTCGTCGTAGAAAGAAACATTATGCAGGAAACTTGTAGTAAATTTTGTCATCTTTAATTTCACAAAGCAGGATTTTCTAAAAAACCCATACTTACCAAGATTTGCCCGAAAAACCAAAAAAAGTGCCCAAATTTTAAGGTTTTTCACAAAATAACCAATGTTCTGGGCAAAATATCTGTCAGCAAACCTCATATTCGTGTTCAGCGACCCAAAAAACATAAAGAAAAGTGATGATTAGGACTGTACCTAAACTTTCTGCTAACTTTCCTAATATGCCTAGACTACTGACCTGAACTCTTCAAGTAAGCTGATTGGACCCTCCTGGAGAAAAACTCAGGAACTCAAACCAGATTGAAATAATTGGTATAAGCAATCTGACACATACTTAACTCCCATTAGCTTGTCAACAACCTATATCATGGGTAAGCAATGGGAGTAACTATGATATTTTATATGGAAAATCACATAATTTTTACAGGAATTAGGGGGGGGCACTATTTTGTTAAGAATTATAAGGACCATAACAGACAAATTTCAATACGAACCTTTCAATAAGAATTTTTACTTTCTCCCCCTATACATAGTATGGAGAAAGTGGTTTTGTCAAAATGTTTGTGTTTGAGTGGATATATCCATTTTGGGCCCCCCTGAAACCAAAAAAGTGGTTTTCAAAGTGATGTCTGTGTGTCTGTATGTCTGGATGTGAAGGTACTAATCCATGGTATCTCCAGGCGTTTTTTTTCAATTTTTTTTTCAATTTTGGTAAAATTTAAGTTCATATGGTTCAAAAGTTATTGTAACTTATGTTATTTCCCATTTAAAATCCAATAAAATTGCAAAAAATCTGATTTTGGAAAAACCCCGGTTTTGATTAAAATTAACGTGTTGTACTACAGTACTTATAATTCTAAACAAAATAATGCAACCCCCATTAATGTAACAATTACGGTTCAAAAGTTATAGCAGCTTTTGTGATTTTTCCTACAAAATTAACACGGTTACTTCCACCACGATTTGTTGTTGACAAGCTTATGGGAGAAAGTGTGTGTCAGATTGCTGATACCATTTATTTCTTTTTAAATGGTTTTTAAGGGAAAAATAACTAGCCTAATCTATTATTATCATAACAATCTATATAACAATAACAATCTATTATTATAAATTACAATAACTTTTAAACCACAATTTTTAGAGGAATGGGAGTTAAACTATATTGTTACGAATTAACTATAAGGTCAATCACATACTAATTTCAATCAAAACTCGCTTTAAAAAAAATGATTTTCTCTTGTTTTATGAGAACATAGCCTAAGTTAACAACTACCATTTTGTTCAGAATTAATTTAAAGTGCTACAGCATACTAAATTTTTATCAAAATCGTTCAGCAAATTTATGATTTTTCCGTAACTTTTTGGGTTTTTATAGAAAAATCACCATTGAAAATCAAAATTTTGAAAAATGGACCAAAACCAACAACAGTTTTGGTCTGAAGCTTCCTGTACACATCCACACACACGCAGACAGACAGACATCACTTCGAAAACCACTTGTTTGGGTTCAGGGGGACTCAAAATGGATATATCCACTTAAAAATTTTGACAAAAACAATAGGTACTTTTTCAATTATACTGTATGTGATGTATAGAGGGAGAAAGTAAAAAAGTAATATGAAACTATTAGGCTTTGATTGGGTCAAGGACCAAGGTGGAAAACAAATGATGACACTTAACACTTACGTGAACTGGGTTCAAACAAAGAAATTTCTATTTTATTCATTCAGACTACAATTTATTTTATTTTATTTTGTGCACAATCACCAAACTACAGCAAAAATTTAATTTTTAATACAGTATGTGAGTTGAATACAACATTTATGATATATACAACTATTGAACATTTGAATGAAGCAATTTAACAACCAGATAAAATTAAAGACTACTCTTCTAAAGAATGCTGTAATAGGTAGGTTGTTTAAAAAGATATGGACATAATTTACATAGTGATTTTTTGGGTCCAAATAAACAGACCATTATGTACAGTATAACACTTTTTTCAAAACACTTCTTTAACCATATATCTGCCATTTTGTATTTTTTTATTAGAAATTTGACATACCATATATCTAGGACTCACCCTACCCCATAAGATAAGGAAATAAATAAATTAGTAAGGTTTTAAATATGAAACATAATTCAATGTGGGCTATTTAGTCAGGGCAGTTTTGTAAACCTCACAAGAGAGCATAATATAGTAATCGAAAGTGACTGGTATAATAAGTAGGCGGTAGCAATTCAAGGATCAAAATGATTATGTAAAAACTAAAAAACACAAAATGGCGTATACTGTATTTGTTTAACAAAACTATTTTACAAAAAAGTTTCATAATGGATTTTTTCTACATTTTGACCCATAGAACCGTTTCCTGTAGTTTGTCCTTGTTTAAATTGGACACTCTGTATAAACTAGGTAATCAACACAATCAAGGCCTTGATACATCACATACAGATGCATACATACAGATACATCACAGAACACAACTGATGTGCTGTGTGATGCATTCAAGCCTTCTGAGATCTGATTTAAGCCCCCCATACACTATCCAACATGTTGGACGGACATGTCGGGATCCAACGTCTTGTCGAACATATTGGACAGTGTGTGGGTTCCAACCCGACATGCTCGACTGATATGTCAGGTCGGATGCTCGGTCCGATAGCACCACCCGACTCGAGCCGTCCGCCTGACATGTTGGACCCATCGAAGTATATATCACAACGTTGGACCGTGTGTGGGAAACCGTCAAACTGCTCGCCCGACTAGCCACAGTTTCCAGTTAACTTGTATTTAGCGAGTTGTGCGTGATAACCGTCCCATTTTTCCATAATGTCATTTAATAATAATAAACAGTTCTGGTCAGAATTTATTTAACTCTACAGAGACCAGAAGGCGTTGTGGGATGTCAAAAGTAAACTCTATTGCAACAAACATGCACATAGGGGCACGATATCCTGATGGAAAAGTGCAAGGAACTGTATCCAGAGTGTGATTTGAAGTTCGTTAAAAATAAAATTGAAAATTTAAGAGCCGCGTTCCATAGGCTCTAAAAATCCCTAAAATCATCGCTAAAAATCCCCCTGAAACAGCTAACAGTCGTCTCAAAATCCATCTCAGAACTAATATTTCACCTGACTTGTTGGGTAACATGCTCGATAGTGTGTGGGAAACACCCGACATAAGTCAGGTTGGATGATGGGTCCGTCGTCAGGTCAGGTTGTCAGGTCGGGTGGCATGTTCGATAGTGTATGGGGGGCTTTATAAATTCAAATGTTGAACTTCTACCAGATAAGGTCAAATTGATTGTAGGAGGATTATGTGTTGGTTACAATAAGATAAATTCTTATTATAAGAGATTTGTTCAAACATTTTAAACATTGAAGGTAGTTATGATACAGGGTGGTAGTTGTTGGGATCCTCTTTTCTTCCCTTATGCAAAGATTTTGATTCAGCTCCTTTTAGTTGGTAAGGATATATACTTTCATCAAAACATTGATTTATTATAAACGGACAAATTCTGAATCAACCACTTGACAAATCTTTCCAATTATTTTGTAGAAAGAATGATAATTTTAAAAGGAAAGAAATGTCAAATCTATAATTTTAATGTTGTTTTCTCCTTTTGAAATAGTTCAATGTAATTTATTAAAGTCTACCAGCAATTAAATTTCATTTAGACTAACCAACACAAGTAGACTTCTAGATGCTCTTTTTTGTTTCTAGTTTACGTCATGTCCGGTGACACTGATCGCTGGTGTTGACAAAGTTTTGTTTCTACAGTAGAATCTTACTAATATGAACCTCGATAATTCAAAAACCTCCAAAATTAGAAATGTTTGTCCTTTCCCCTCAGAAATCCTCTAAAATTAAAAATATAATATACCAATAATTCAAAGTGATTTTTACGCTTAATGCAGCTTCATCTACAATTTGAATTTGCACGTACTCGAGCCTCTACCATTTGAATTTTGTTGCCATAAATCAAACTGTTACCTCCAAAATTTTAAGTCAACCTCTACAATACGAGTTGCATTACCGTAAGCCTAAAAAATGTGCATGTTGAAACATGAACTGACAATCTTATTGATGTTCCCACGATGTGTTCATTAGTCTCTGTTCTCTCAAACTCTCTACACTTAAAACTGGGCCCTCCATAATTCAAATTTTATTTATCTGACCTCTATAAATCAAACTTTCCACGTCTCAAACTTCCCAAAGTCCAAAAATATTGTCTTTCTTCTGATATTTGAATTAGCGAGGTTCTACAGTATTATTTTAGTATAATTTCATAATTTGTACTACTGTTTTTGGTTATATGTTCAAGGGATGATTTATATTTTATGATTAGATCGTTTTATTTGGTTTATCTAGGTTTTAAATAACTGAAATAACAAGAAAGAAATTGTAAACAAAAACAATCTCTACAGTGCACCCAGAACTAACAATAAAATTAGCTGTTCCTTAAGGATGAGAAATCTACTAGATCAGGATATCTACTTCATCCATGGGAGTATTTTTCATCTATATTGTGCAGGTTTTCTAATAAATAAAAAAAAAAAAACAAAGCTGAATGAACAAGTCAAAGAGTGTGCTACTGACAAAATTATCAAATATGCAAATTACAATTACATTGTGGAGATTATATTGTGAGATATTTTAACATCTGAAAATATATGAACCTTACATCACAATCCATGAGTTGACAGATGAGTGGTCAGTTGGGTTTTCCTGGCAAAAGTCTTCTCACAGACAACACACTTGTGATTCCTGGTGATTCCATGGACAGCCATGTGTTGTTTGACATGGGTTCTTAGTTTGAACGTTTGACCACATATATTACAGACATGAGGTCTGCTATCTTTATGTGTATTCTCATGCTGCTGCAAATTACATAATCGTTTAAACAATTTTCCACAAATTGGGCAGGAAAACTTATGATCATCATTGTGTACAATCATGTGTGTTTTCAGTTTTAATTCATTTTTAAATGCTTTACCACAAATTTCACAGCATACAGTTGTTCCATAGTGTTTATTTATATGTACAATTAAACTACTTTTAAGATAATAAGTACGATCACATAGTGCACATATGTATTCTTCTCTTTGTTGATGTGATGTTTGAATGTGTTGTTTAAGTCGGTCTTTGTGATTAAAAACTTTATGACATTCAGCACATTTGTATTGATCTTCTCTTGAATGGACTGAATCCGTATGTCTTTTAAGGTTTTTTTTCTGATTAAAACCCTTTCCACAATCTTTACATCTAAATAGAAGACTTTCAATTTTACGAAAATGGACTGTTTCAATATGGTTTTTAAGGTGTTGAACAGAAATTGCTTTCTTACAAATATTACAAATGTCTTTTTTATGCGCTCTTTTCGGTTTGTTTGCTGAATGTTGTGTTTCCATATGACCTTGGAGGCTACCTTTTTGTGTAAATGCTTTATTGCAGATATCACATGGAAATAACTTAAGTCCTTTGTGAACCTTTAAATGTTTTTCCAACCTGCACTTTAAAAAAAATCTTAGATTACAAATGTTACAAGCAAATGGTTTATGGCTGTCTTTACTTGTGTCATCTTTATCATTAGAATGTTCAATTCTCTTCACACACATTTTACATCTTTCACATTGACACAAAATACCGTCTTGAATTCCTGTGCATACTTCTCCAGGTATTGGAGCAGAGGTATCTTCATCCTGCAACATTTTCCATAGTTACTGAATGCGATTCTGTATCACAATTTTCTTTTCCATCACCATTTATAAAATCAAACTACACGGTAAAGTGTTTGTTAATAAAAAAAACCCTCCCTATAAACGGTATAAACCCTACTTGACATTCAATAGGGAATCAAACCACAATATAACTGCTAGAGAGAAATACTGTAGTTGATTAACTGTACAAACAGCGGTTTTAGACAGCAGTGCACTGTTTTTACTCAATTATTGTGGGCAACATATAGCTTTTTCATAAAACAATAAAGTTTTGGGAAATTTAAGTTTTGACTGATAATGAAAACCAAATAAAAAACTGGTTAGTAAGTGTTACAAAAATATATCTAATCGGTCTACAATAATTAATTCTGTCTACTAATGTATCAAAAATTAGGGGGGGGAGGAGAATTTTGCAATTGCACATTCTTCCGAGTTGTTTGTTTAACTTTATTCCTTTTAAATCAAATTATATTGCACGTAAGAAAACATAAGATTTTATTGTTGTCCGCTAGACCAAAAAAAAAATTAAAGGATAATTTCTCAAAAACTGAAAACCCAAAAAAATTTTTGAATGGAACGGTAGGCTATATTAAAGCAATTTTTAATACAACTTTCCTTTTAAAATTATTTTACTTTTAACTTAAGAATCATGAAAACTCGGTAAGTAGATGATTCAGAATCTTTGACTAATAAACCCTTTACAAACATATAAGAAGATATAAATACCTTAAAATAACTAAATTTGTCTCAGGTCTAGGCATGGCCCTACTAGAAAACACGCAATGCTGCAGCGCGTCACAGTGGTGGATAGTTGTACTAAAATCTTACTTTTTAAATCTGACAAACAGCCTGCTTATTTACCTAAAACATAATACTGTATAATGGGATATTGCAGTGAATCCTATTAACAAATCTATCCACTAGTGTGACGTCATGGATCCTGCAGCATGGTCTGTTTCTCTAGTGGGGCCTTGATCTAGGTTTTTTTGTGCGGCCTACCATAATAGCTTCTACCTTATAAGGAAATTTGCTAAAATTTGTAGGGTCAAGAAATAAAGTAAACTAATTTCATCGATTTTAAATTTAAGGGTGAATTGATTATCTATTCTATTATATAAAAATTTAGTGGTGTCTGTCTGTATGTTTGTTACTAATAGGCGCATAAACTACTGAACTGATTGGGCTTTAATTATACATAAATATAGCTACCATACCAAGGACCTTTGTAGGACTATTAACACTTCAATACTGACCGTGGGCTTTGCCCCTTTGGCTTTAAAAGTTCTGAGGTGAGGATTTTAAAAGTAAATATTGATAGTTTCCATGGCCGCCAATGCTGCCATGAGAACACATACAATGATAAAATGTTTGCAATATGCTATGCCACCCAAATGTAAACAAGCTGAACTGTCAAACCACATTAATTCACAATTCCACAGCTGGTTTATAAATAGGCATACAGGGTTAGGCAAAAGTCTGGAACCCCCCAGTTAACTTTTTAACGCGTTGCAGTAGGAAAACCAAACTCGGCACATATTTACAACATAAGAAATAGCACTTTTCATCAAGTTACAACTTTGCCCCAGCCCCCAAAATGGGGTATTTCGGGGGCAGCTCAAAATTTTCAATTGTAAACTGTACCGATTCGTCGTATAAAACAACGAATTAACGTGTAGCAGACGCAACAAATAGTCCACACAAGTGGAAGGGGTAAGAACCCAGCCGCCAGCAACGAGTCTGTCTGTCTCTCCCATGCCTCCCTTGTAGCTAGTCGGTAAATTTTCGGATCGTGCAAATTAAATTAGTTTATTGGTCTTCATATCAAAGGTATTCTAGTCTGGAAGAACTTCAAACAGTACCAGGGACGTCCCACAAGGACTTCTGGGGATAATTTTATTTTACAGGGCCCACTCAAACATTTTTTAACACCAAGCTTCCACTGCCAAAAGCTCTGTCTTATATTATTACCTTCCAAGTTCTTCCAACCCAGGGGCAACCAAGATTTGTAAAGAATTCACTTTTGAGAGCATTGCATGGAGTATATATATTTAAATAAAATATTTAAATATATAAAAGTAGAAGTCAGAGTCTTTTTATTTTTCTTTACAAAACACCTATCATGTGACCCCTCATATTAAAGGGTTTATCAAGAGAAATTGAGTGGTGCAAACTAGAGGTCAATATCAGAGAGAGGTCTAATCAAAATGGCAGCCATTTTAATTTAAGATGAGCATGCAAGATAAAGTCTGGACACCCCCAGTTAACTTTATAACGTGTGGCAGCAGGAAAACCAAACTTGGTAAATGTATACAACATTTAAAAATGCACTTTTTCATTTCAGTTAGAACTTGTACCCGGCCCCCAAAATGGGGTATTTTGGGGGCAGCCCCAAATTTTCAAATGCAAACACCTATCATGTGACCACTCATTTTAGAGGGTTTCTCAAGACAAATTAAATATCGAAAACTAGATGTCAATATCGCATCCATAATCAAAATGGCAGTCATTTTTAAATATCCCCTATTATCTTTTTAACAGGTTATAGCAGGAAAACTAATCTCAGCATACCTTTACAATAAAAGATAATTCACCTTTTGGTCAGTACTAAAATATTAAATTGTTAAAGGTAATTGGGGGTGTCCAAACATTATCTTGCTTGCTCATCTTAAATAATTAAAATGGCTGCCATTTTGCAGGCCCGTTTTTGACCCTGTCAGCGCCCTAGGCACGTCTAATAGTAGCGCCCATTTGCAATATATATATAACAGGGTGTACACCGACCGGGAAATCCGGGAATCATGCGGTAGATCTTTGAACCGTGAATTTTGTATTTCTACCTGGAGTTTTCAATTTACCGTGATCGCTCATAACAACAGTGACGTTTCCGTGATCGCGCATGACAACAGTGACGTTTCCGTGACCGCGGGAGACAATAATAAATGTCTACACACGGCCACGAGGGATGATCAGAATTTTCCGCGATCGCAGAAGACGATGATGGTATCTACTATCTACAGAGCCGCAACGGATGATCAGAATATTACCACAATCACGGAAGACGATTGATGTCCACACGACCGCGGGAAACCTCAAGAACTTTGCCGCGATCGTGGAAGACGATGATGATCTCCACAAAACTGCAGGAAATGATTAAAATTTTGCCGCAATCGCTGGAGACGATTACCATGGATTCACGACTGCGGGATACGTACGATATCTACAGGACCGCGGGAGATATAATAACTATTTCTACACGGCCACGAGTGATGATCAGAATATTGCCGCGATCACGGAAGACGATGATAATGTCCAAATGACCGCAGGAAAAGATCAGAACTTTGCCTCATTCGCCGAAGACGATTATCTCCATATGTCCGAGGGAGATGATTACCATTTTGCCACAATCGCGGGAGGCGACTACTATGTCCAAACGACCAACGGGGACGATAAGATGTCTTCACGGCCGCGGGGGTGGTCAGAATTTGACCGCGATCGCGCAAGACAAGGATAATGTCCTCACGACCGCGGGAAAATATCAGAATTTTGCCTCATTTGCGGTAGATGATAATAATCTCCTCACGACCGCTGGATATGTTCATATATTGCCTCGATCATGGAAGACGATAATTTTATGTCCAAACGACCTGACTGCAGAAAATCTTGCCGCAAACGCGGGAGACGATTACGATGCCTACACGGCCGCGAGTGGTTATCAGAAGTTTACCGCAATATCATGCAAATACTACCACGATTTTTTTTTATTTTCAAATTTTTGGCGCCCCCCAAAAAAGCCAATTGCCTCGCGCCCTAGGCACGTGCCTACCGTGCCTATTCGGTAAATCGGCCCTGCCATTTTGATTAGGGGTGCGATATTGACCTCTAGTTTGCGCCATTCAATTTCTCTTGATAAACCCTTTAAAATGAGGGGTCACATGATAGGTGTTTACATTTGAAAATTTGGGGCTGCCCCCAAAATACAGTACCCCATTTTTGGGGCTGGGGCAAAGTTGTAACTTTGATAAAAAAGTGCACTTTCTTATGTTGTAAATATGTGCCAAGTTTGGTTTTCCTACTGCAACGCGTTAAAAAGTTAACTGGGGGGATCCAGACTTTTGCCTAACCTGTATCTAACAAAAAACCACTAAGTGGTAACACTTTCCCCGCCAAGTCAGCAATCTAAAAAAGATAAATAGTTATTTGTGCAACTAGTGAGAAAAGTGAGCAATTGACTCACTCGAGAGAAATCCTTACTCACGAGCCGTAGGCGAGTGAGGAATGGTTTCTCGAGTGAGGCAATTGTACTTTGAACTCGAGTTGCACATTATACTTTTCCTACAGTTACCATAAAACAAATAAATTGGTGAAGAAACATAACCTATTTTTACACAGAAGTGAACTTTTAATATAACATTTAATGTGAAGTGACATATACAACAGTACAACAGCTGACCAGCTGATTTACAGCCAGTGCTGCCAACGTATTTCGCGCGCATACGACGTTGCCTGCATGTTACGCGCTCACTATTTCGTGCCTTCACGTTGCAAATCTGGACTCACTGATGAGCGAATTGGCCACTTTGCTTTCTCAAATCAGTGAGAGAACATGTACATTGTTAGGTAACTGTAGGAAAAAGTCATTACTTTTCCGCCAAGAAAAACAACGTAATGTGTGTAAGTTTGGCAACTTGGTGGCAGACTTTTGCTTGGTTTTTTTCATTAAAGTTATGTTCGTGGATAATTTCACAAATCAACTACTATAATTAATTAGTCCAACTAAGTATAATATAATTTCGAGGTAATCGGTAAATATAAAATCATCACTATTATGATTTTATGAAAGGTGGCACAAATAAGGTCAAATTTTGTAAAATAAGCTCTCACCTAGCAATGTACTAATGGGAGAGATACTTGCTCAATGAAACTAGTTTTATGATATTTTTTAAAGTGATCGAGCAAAAGTCTGCCGCCAAGCTGCCAAACTT